CAGCCAGCCATGCTTGCTGGGGAATTCTGGGAGTTGAAGTCTACTCATCTTAAAGTGGCCAAATTTGGACAACATTGCCCTACGGCATTTGTGTATGGACAAGCCATTTTTCCAGCAAACGTTTTGTGAGAGGGCCTCCCTCTTTCAAAACCTAAGTGTACCTACCAGATCCCCCAAAATTAGCAGTCATGGGATAGATCATGAGTACATGCCTTATTGACTGTCCCAATTACATAATATATGGAACTGATGTCACAAATTGCACAACATATTCTATCTAACAATTTCTATGGAGCAGCTACCATAGAATTTGGGGCTAGTTATGATACAGGATTTACATATATTATACATTTCCTTCTAGTATATGCATTATTGGGCCGTCTTACTTCAGAAATATCTGTTGTCTTCTGTGAAGTAAAGAATACTGTGCCCAACTGGTGGTGCTATTGTATTAGCCTTTTTAATGTCTATCTAAACCGTAGAGTCTTTCTCTCATAACAAATCTTTAGTTGCTTACTACTACAAAGTGTTTGCAAGTCTAACTATTAAAAGCCATGCTATGATTGAAAAAGCACAATATTCTTTCCTCCTTCTGTTCACACTCTTTGATTGGGTGTGTACTGATGTAACATTATTGGAGAAACATCCTCTTAAGACAAATAAATTTGCCACATTCTGTTCAGACAAACAATTTTCTCAGGAACAATTTTTGGCAAGTTTGCAAACCCCCCCCCCACCTTATCTGTTCATAGCACTGACTGGCTGATGCCTGTGATGTTATCACTCCATTCTTTCCATGACTGGAATAGTTTGGCAGTTTTTATAAAAGAAATGCTTAAAACACAATGGTGATGAATAAACTTTTGAAAATAAACGTGCTACTAATTTTTTAAAGTAAAAAATCTTGCTGCAAACATGGAAGCTGTAATATTGATGACTGAATAAGCATTAAATCCATTGGTATTCATTACCATCATTTATAGCAGGCTTCCTAGCCTATGCCTTTCAATTAAGTTGGGTGAAAGTTTTTGCTATGGCAGCTATTTTGAATGTTACATCTGTATCACTCGTTATTTTGCTGGAATACTCCCAAGAGGCTTAATAGCTGACTATTTATAGTGGGTGATTTAAATATGTATTTCATAATTTTGCTTTGGGGGCACAGGTCTCCTTGTTCTTGAACAGTGGACCCAAAGTGTATCATTCCCCCTTGCTATACTTATACTAAACTGCTTTAGATGGTAGTTTGCATTTATGCTATCTTTCTGTAACTTCTTCCTGCTACATTTGTCTTCAGATTTATTTATTCCTCCCTCCCCCCATACTTATTTAAATACAATAATCTGCTACTAGAACAAAGTCTTCCAAAACTTTGGATTTAATTCCGCTTTCATTACATTTTCAAGGGCTTCAGTAGTATTAAAAATGAAGGTTAAGTAGCATCAGGATGAACAGGAACAAAACCAGGCTTCTTTGTGGCTACTTCAGAACCAGAAGCATCTGTTGCTTTTTCTATGAAGAATGTCATTTGTTAAAGTAAAAAGGCCCCTTAATATAGGGCTGTGCCTATCTAGACTAGCCTTCCAACTTTGTCTTCCTCATCCTCCCCAGTTTGGAAAGGGGCGGGGGAATGGGCCCTCTCCTTCCTTTTTAAAAAAAAATTAACAGGAAAATAAATTAAGATTCAGGAAGGATAATCCCAATCCATTTCCAGAGAACTGTTACTCCTGAGAAATGTAACCACATATTTGTTTAATTAGCTTGTGCTGGATTTTCTGGACTCCATGCTGATTTGCAATAAATTTTGGACTTGAGGAAAACACAGACTTCTTTGGCCAGACCTGAAATTATCCTGTGGCACATAAAGCAAAATAAATATATGCTTGGTAAGTGTTGGTTTTTAAAAAATAATTTAACCAGGGAGACAAAGGCAGCTTGCAGTTTCTTCTGAATTAGAATTTAAAATGTGCTTTACTCTATAGGCTGAGTGCATCTTTAACCATCTGTATTCAAATTCTTTTTAGGCCACTGGCATTGCACACGGTGTAGGAATGGCAAGGAAAGAAAAATGCCCTAGTCTGAGAGATTTGTTTTGGGGTTGAATTTGAGCTTTCTACACATAAAGCAAATGCCCCACCACTAAGCTGCAGCTCTTCCCCATAACGATCATCCACAAACATCATGGAATTTTATTCAGCTGTATCTTGTGTTTCCTGATTCTTATGTGCAGCCAGCCTTTCCTCAAAACATCTTTACAAATCTCAGAACATAATTACTTCCTTGAAGGTTCCTTGCTGTGATTTATTTATTTCAATAAAATGTCTCTACCACATCAAAACCTGTCCACATCTTCGTCTGTTTATGTTATTTCCACTCAGAGCAAGCTTCAGTTAGACTGTCAATGAATACATTGCTTCAACATGGAGGAAGTGGCTTATTTAATATTACACAGAATCCATTCATACTGATTCCGGCCACAGCTGCAGCTCTTGAAATGGGACACTCTTTCTTTGGATACAACTAGAAGTTTATTGTTTTTCATTTCCAAGTTTAGCGTTGGGTACTCTTGCTTCAGTCACTTCAGACCTGAAGTGCGGCAAAGTCCGGCCTTATTATTATTTATCACTCTTGTCAGTGGAAATGAGTGAGATTCCTTCAAAAGCCATGGCTCCTTCATCTTGTCACAATTTCTAAACTTTGTATAGGTGATATAATCCGCAAAGTAGAAAATGCTGTTTAATACAGTGTATTCCTCCTGGGAAGCATATACAGTACAAAGCCAGAATGACGTTTGTTTCACTTTTTGCCTTGTCTTGTATTTAGCTTTACAATGGCCCAGTAACATCTTGGCTGAACCAAAAAAAAAAAAAAGTTAAACAGAGTGCATTAACAAATCCAAGGCTGTAGTCTGGATTAAGGAGTTTAAAAAATGGCTACAAAACAACATGGATATGTTGACCTGTAGCACCCGTACCTTTGGTCCCTAGTTGGACTGTCTGTCTCCAACTGGTCACAGCAGGTGGCAGCTTCTGAAAGCTACACGGGTTGATCTAGAGA